TCCCCAGAGAAAACTACTACTCTGGCCTCTATCGTGATTAATTAGTTCTGCCTGCTTTTAAACATCATAGAAGCAGAACTATATAGTAAGTGCCTTCTGTACCTGGCTTCTTTAGCTCTACTTAATGTTTGTAAGATGCCTCTGTGTTGTTTTATTTATCAGGGTTTGTTCATTGTATTGCTCCCAATATTCCATTGAGTAAATATCCCACAGTTTGTTCAGTCTATCCTTTGATGGGCATTTGAGTTACTTCCATTTTACTGCTGTATAAATAGAGCTGTTATGAACCTTTTTGTACATATCTTTTGGTGAACAGATGCACTCTTTTCTGCAGGTCATATACCTAGGAGTGGGTAGATGTGTTCTTTAGGAGATACTGCCCAACACTCTCCAGAGTTTGGACCGAGGGAGTTTTGACTTTGGTCTGAGGAAGATGGGAGTGAGATGAGGAAATTTGTTTTACTCTGGCAGACTCTGTCTATTATTCATTCTCCTACCGCTGGGACACAATACTTGACACCCATGACTTAGGAGGAGAGGTTTAATTTGGTTTACAGTTTCAGAAATTTCCACTCATGGTCAGCTGGCTCCAAGGCAGAATCATCATGGTGGAAGGGTATGGTGGAGCAAAGCTCCTCAGCTCGTAGTGGCAGAAGCAGAACAAGGAATCAGTGCGAGAAAGAAAGGAGTGAGGGACCAGACATAGACCCCAAGGTCACAACTCCATGACCCAGCCAGAGACACCCCAAAGTGTGCTCCACGGATCCCCCAAGTGGGTCCCAAAGCCAGTCAAGTGGACATTCCACCCTAACTGCCACACCCTGGGTTAGATGTGTGGAAGCGGGATGAGATTCTACCCAAGAGGACAGTAGGGAAGCACAGAGGAAAAGCAACAGACTAGGAGAGGGATGAGGCAGCCCTGAACTTAGCATGGAGGAAAAGGATGGTAAGAGGATGGGAGGTGGTGAAAAGGTAGAGATGATGTGATTGGAAGTTGTAGAGAGGCAAAAATGGAGTCCAGGATGTCTACCAGCCTTTTGATTCAGTGTCAGAAGGATGGTACCCGCCCTTAAAGAGGGAAGGAATGGGTTTGAGATGAGCTCATTTAGAACATGTTGATCAGAGGGACTCACAGGAGATGGAGGTACTATCCAGTAGGCAACTGGACACATGGAACTGAAGCTAAGGGGTGGCTCCAGGCTGGAGATTTATATTGTGGATCAAGGGAATGATTGAAGCATCCAGAAAGAGGATCCCAGAAAGATGGTGGAGAAGGCATTTCCCAAGAGGTCAGGGGAGGAACACCAGGAGCCTGCCTGCTGCCATCATGGCAGGGAGAATTTCCAAAAGGAAAAAGTTGTGGTCTCTCAGAGGCTGCTCAAGAGTCAGGAAAGATGGGCACTGAAAAGTGGATAGTGAATGCCAATTTTGACCTTGTAGGACACTTCCAGTCTGTGGGACTGGGCTGCCAGGCTTCCAGACCACCCCAGGCCTGGTTCATGGCCCGTCACCCTAGGGCAAGAACAATGCCTATTGCTTTTCTGAGATGTTTGTGGGGCCCTCAGCTGGACAAGACGGCAGACAGCAGCAAGTGCAGGGCCACCTGATACTGAATGCAGTGACATTTGAACACAATTTCCCCCTGGAGCCTTTCCTCCATGGAAAGTCCCAGTTGTAAACCATATTGACTTTAATCTCAAGTGTCAGAAAGGTTGCCCAGGAGGCTGGAAGCCAACTGGCTGAAAGTATGTTCGTGTGGAAGTCAGAGCAAACCAAGTAAGATTTAGAACAGTTTTTTGAGATCTATGCCAGTGGTGAACTTCTTAGGAGAACAGGACAAAAATTAACCCTTTAGGTAAAAAAGCACTGGGCCTTATTAATTTGTATTTCTACTGATCTATAAACTTGGGGAAACAGTGAAGGAAAAGAACAACACATCTTTCTTTATCAGGCACAAGTGGGCTGGAGGAGGCGCCCCAGAGTTTAATGGGCAGCTTTATGTATTTCTACTCTTTGAGTGGAGCTAAGCAGCTCGGTGCTACACAATGGGCAGTTTCTAGTTGGATTTTAAAAGAAATAACTTTGATCATTTCAAAAGCAATGAAGCCTGATACAGCAGAGAGAAAAGAAGGCGGTAATTTATGGCTACCATTAGGGACACAAAGACAAAGGCGGAGAGAACGTTTCACTAAGTGAAGATTTACAAATGTGTAAAAACCACCCTTAGGACCAGAAATAGCTGAGTTTCTCTCTCAGCACCAAACACAAAAGGGGTGGGAGGGAGGAGCGGGAGACAGAAAAAGGGATGCAACCTGCCTGTCACCCTGGATGAAAAGGTCAGTGGAAAAGTTACCTTCTCCCCAAAGAGGAGGCCTGGCCTGGGCCTGGGTGGATGTGTGGGCTGGGGCAGCAGACAGAGATACGGAGGTGGGAAACTCTGGGTGATGTATGGAACCCAAGAAGACATATGATATGTTTTTGCACATGACCTATGTGGGGTCTTCCATGTGCGTGTATGGCATGACATTTATTGTTTTCTGATCAACAAAGTAATGAATGTGTGTATTTATAAGAGGAAAATGGATTAAATACCGGACAGAGCGCTCAGTTAAGAACATCTGTATCCCTGAACGTGCAGTTTGGCTGCATCTAAGGGCCGCTACTGCATTTGTTCCTGCAGGGACGCTGAGTGTAGCGGGTTCCAGGGAAAGGCGGCAAGGCCCAGTGTGTGTCCCTCCCGAGGAATCTAGATTGGAGAGGTCGCAAGCACTGCTTCTGTTTGCACCCGGCCAGGCCTGTGAGCTCCGGTGGGCATAGTCACCATCTGCAGCAGGCAAAGTTGGAGCTGTCACTTGTCTCTGGCGGCCCACCTTCCCAGGGCTGGGCCCCTTTCCCTTCACGGCTTAGGGTGCCCTGGAGGGATATTCAACTGGTTTACAGCAACATGAGTATTTTCTGCAATGGTTCTGAGGCCCGTAGTGTGCCAGAGAGAGGGACAGCTTCAGCGTGCCCCACGATGGGACAAGGGGGACCTACCTTCAAAGGGCCAGGGGGTGGGGAGTCAGAGAAGGTCTGGGGAGCGCTGCATGAAGCAGAGAAGCTGGGGTCTGTCTCTCTCCACTCAAAAAGCTGCTTCCCTGAGCTCTGCTGACAGGGTCAGAAGCGTGTGGAGACAAACCCAGGGGGTTCTGGAGTTTGAGGACGACGCAGGGCACTTTCTGGGTGGAATATTCCCGTGGTGGGATATCGCCGGCTGGAAGGGCCGCTCGTGTTCACCGGAGGGACTGGGTCAAGTTGTAGGACGCTGCAAGCGGGCGGAGCGTGAGGCTCCCGGGCGCCGCAGCGGGCGGGCCGGGCGGGCGCGGGG